TTCAAAGTAACGATAATGGCTGTCATGGCACGGAAAAACTAATTTTCTTCCCTTTGCTTTTAAATTTACAAACTGGCAATTTTATTTTATTGTTATTAGATTTTTCCGGCTTATGTCACAGGATGTCACTGCGGAGGATTATTCCCGCAGTCTCTACGCTAATAATCATAAGAATTGCTCCACTTTATTATGTGTGAAATTTAGAACGTTCTTCGCATACATTTTATGGAGATTTCATCTCTCTGTGGAAAGTGGTTGTACGGTAAAAATATGTTGTTTATTATCTACGCTACAATTTGCGTTATCTGTATACTGTAACTGTCGATGCCTATAATGTATAGAATATATTAACACTGTTTAATTTATATGCATGTCATTATTTATATGCAGATCCTATGTGATAAATATATAGAATAGTCATATAACATGTATATTACGCCTAGACACTATTTTATCACAAGTAGAACACAGTCTTCCAACTTTTTCAAAATTATTCGTAAAAGATAAATACAATCTTTACGGCCATACTTTAAGAACAAATAATGAAGATGTCGCCAAGAATTCGAATATAAAAATAAACGCGAGCGCGCAACGAAATAACTCTATGTTATCGACGCACGCGCACCCAATCTGCGATCGAAACACAGTGGATAAGATTATCCGGTAGCCGTGTATTATTTTAATGAGACTACACGACTCCTTCAGATTCGATACGATACGAAAAAGCATAGCTACAAAAGAGATATCAAAGCTTGCAATGCGAGCCATTTAGCTGTTTAAATCTAAGCCCAATATATCCAAGACCATAGATTACAAATAATCCATAGACAACCCTGTATGGGTCTTGGCCAAAGATTGCATTCTTTTAGTAGGTCAGCCATCTATATCTGACATATGTCGTATTTTTTAGTGTGTCAAAGCTTTCCTTACGATGTATCCCTTCAGCGTATTCATTGGTAGATAGTAGTGCTTTGAACGCATTAGACCAACAGCTCCAGGACCATAGATAACACAAAAATATCAACAGACCCGCATTCAAATAAGATCTGTGTCGTTTCATTTTTCCCCTCGGATATTGGTATTAAAAATGTAAAAGAGATTTATGCGAATGCTTCTAAGCTTTCATTAGTTGTTCCTTGTTATTTTCTGCGGTTCTGGTAATTTTTTCTCTTATTAGCTTAAAATTTAACTGCATATAAAACAGATTTATATTCCCACGGTGGTCCAGCTGCATGCTATGACTTATATTACGATTTTTCCCTCTGTATTGAAATTAGGAATACGGTTTAATGAAAAATAATGGTAGGTGGTGTTTTAATGGTTATATCTTGTATTTGAACAAGAGAATCTTTAAGGGGGGTTTGAAATGTAGAGGGTAATTTTTAGAATAGAAAGTATTTGGAATATCATTTTTTGTTTTATTGTACTTAGATATTATTGGTGAGTAAAAAATGGTTGCCATCTATGGACAGCTATAATCTTATTTAACTCGCGGGTTTGTTATAAGATAATAATAAACAGAAGGTTAACCACTGAACCACTAGGTACAGACTAAATTCGGTACGAAAGTGATTACCTACAAAAAACAAGCACATGTAAAGGCGCGGGTACTCATAATTTCATAATATAATAAACACATGTAACAAGCATATCACTGGGGATAGTAATTCCGTATGTAAATTACAAGGGTCTTGTTCCACCCCAAAGAGACGTATAAAACCATACTAAAAGACCTCTTCCGCAATACAAATATTTTGCATTCATAGGCCTGGTTACGTTTGCGTTGAAATAACTCCTTAACCGAGGTTTATGTCGCTTAAATATTAACGATGATCAAATCCATGGAAATATTCGTGATAAGTACAAGGAGATACAATAAACTGGGAGTACAATATTATATCGTTAAGTAAAACGCAGGCCATAGGAAGTTATTCTCTAGTTTCAAAAAAGCTATTATATTAGAACTTTTGGGGCCCATAGACCTGAGACCTGCAAAATCTCGGATGGATCAACGAGGAAGTGCTGCTAGCGAAAAAGGTACACACAGGGCCAATTTTTTTTAAACGTAGTTATATTCTTATTTATATATATAAAAATTTCATGGGGTCTGATAGGCAGTACCGGTAACCCCTGGTGGTGGTACTTTCCTCTCTTAACGAATAAGTATCACAATACACCGTGGAAATCCTGCCAGCATTAAATACACATGGACCAAACTTTTAAAAATTTATTTTAGTTTTCTATATTATTATTACTATGTAGGTTGAAAATATTGTTTTATTATTGAAACTTGATTAGTTTTTCTTTTATAATTATTCCTTTAAAAATTGTTATGAAGTAAGTATATGTATATTTAAAATATTTTATAAATCTCAGTCGCTATTCAATAAAGACATTTCACCTTACGAGTAATTCGGCGTACGTCACATTGAATTATTTCGACTAAGTAATTCCGAGCGGTTAATTATTGTGCACAAACTGGGAGGAGAGTTGAGAATGTAATTATTATTAAACTTTACGATTGTCTCACTTTACCCCTTTGGTATAATCGGAATTTGATAACGACGTAACTCGCGATGACGCAATGGATATGTAGCCTTGATACCGCACAGGAGAGTGCAAAATCAAAATTTCGGTGTTTCGCACATCTGACACTTCTCGTGGTGTTTACTCCGAGATCCTTAGGGAGTTTCTTAGGTTGTTGCTCACAGGATTCATATTTGAGCTACCTTAGAAAATTTATGGATGTGTAACGAGAGATCTGAATACGTTGATCGCATTTCATAGAACATTTCAATAATTATTTTAGCATTGTTTATGAAATTAGACTCAAACTCAAAACTGATTATTTAAATAAAGGCTGTCGACATATACACGGTATGTCATGTTCAGTGTTCATACCGAGGCCACTAGATGGCGTGGCATGCGTGTGGTCGAGTCGCGTGCGCACTGTAACCGGAGCAACACGCGCAAGTAATCCAATATGGCCGTCTGATGTCGCCTATCTACTTTGCAGGAATGGCATTTTAATATCCTTACGCTAATGGTGGTTAATGTCACTTATTGTTTACGTATGAACAAGTGGTACGTAAACCACACATCAGTTATAGCCTATTGAAAAGACATGATGTCGTCTTGAATGTTCATCACATTGTATATATAGAATACACCTTTTCAATAGAGCTATATTTCTGATAGCACGTAAACGCAATAATTCATCTCGTCGACTTGAGGTAAACAAACAGAGATTGAATAAAGTGATTTTTGTGGAACACCTAAAGCACAATGGTGCGAAAGCTAGCGCGGCGCGGCAACAATGCATCGTTCGGCCTATCTGCGCACGGGCATCTTCAGTGAGCGCAGTGGCTCGTTAGTTCCCTGGAGGCGGTTGTTTGCATTGCTCACCTAACTTACGATATAGAAAAGCATTACAATAGAACTATTCCTTTACTTTCTTCGATGCTACGCATAATTTATGCAATAAAGATAGGAAAAGGAAGTCTTTAATCATATTAACTCATGAAGAGTCCGCAGTACCGTTGTATGTTAAATAAAAAGGGAATCGCAAATTGTCACTAATTTGATTTCACCACAACGTAATAGCGTCTGTCCCGTCAGTATTGTAAAAGCTTTCATATCAATTGAATCCATTAGCTGAGTACACAAGTCCTGTCTGTTTATTTGCTCATCAGTTTTTATCATTGACCAGTTCGTGTTTGTTCGATCGGTCACTTCCATATTATTGATGGGTTGTTTCCCCCACAACATTGCGATTCTCTAGAATCATAACAGTGCTGTACCATACATATTTATAACAACGCTATTATTAAACACGCGTAAATACTAAAGGTGAAAAGTCTAAATTGGTTGAACTAAAATTAGCTCCTATTTGTATTTAATGCACTAAAAGGAAACTAACGTAGTAATATAATCGCGTCTGCCTACTACGAGCTACGCTAGCTATCTCTTGATATGGAAGTGGAATTCCCTTTATTACCGAACCCCATAAAATACTGCCGTATCTACTTGCGCATGTGCCATTTGTCCATTGAACAGCACTTAGCTTAACAAAAACTGATAGTTGTAAAACAAAAGAGGTGTATAAAAGCGCGGTAACAAGACCAGAACGGTTCAGAAATAAACTAAGCGGTAAGAGTTAACAGGGATAAAGGATTAAAGAGTAGCCGAAGCAGATTTATGTCGCGATGATTGCAATCGGAACGATTCTGCGTGTTACCTGTGTTTACTTTTTTCTTGGAGGGGTGAACATTTTAAGTCGAAGAAATGCATCGTATCGCACGAGATATCGATGCTTTAAGACCATTTCCAATCAGACTTCAAGGTTGTTTAGTGGAATGCTGCTTAAGTTTATAAATGTAAGATAGTTGATCTTTTTCAAATTCTCTAAAGTCTAGTCGAAATGGGCACAATTTACAATTCATTGTGACTCTGTTGACACTTTCAAATCGACAAGTTTTATCATAGAATGCCTTTCAAACAACCCTCCTCGTGGTTATCTGATAACGTATGAATGCGAGACACATTTGTCTGTACGACACCCACTCTGCATGTCTAGTGTAAAAATTGCCAGCGAATGTGTCTAGATAGCGATCTCCTATTTGCTAGCAACAGGAGGGCGATGATATGATGTTTGTTCATACAAACGTAACAGTTTCATACATATTCAGTTCGGCAGTTTGAAAAAAAGAGTTGACATCGTGCCAATGACCTTGCCATATGTCAGACTGACGTGAGCGCCAATAAAAATGCAAACTGTTTGGCTACACCTATCAATTCAGCTAAGCGAACCACAAGAGTGATTGCTGTAATTTCTATAAAAATCAACGGTAAGGATCAGCAGATACATGAATTTGAAAAAATGTTTCATCAATGATTTTATTATCGTAATTACAAAATTACGGGTTTTGTCTAAAGACAGACGATTTACAATCTTAAAGCAGTATGCTTAGGGGGTTATTCGTTTAGCACTCGCTAACATGTCAGGGGAGAAATGGAACCTTTTGTTGGCCTATAGCATTATTATTTCCCATTTTGTTTTGTTTATTAATACAATTGGCTCGCGGCGCAATATTGATATTCAAGTTTTGATGATGACTCCAGCCGCGAGTTTTCTCCTCTGTATTTTTATGAATTTTTGTTACAATTGTGTTTCGTTTTTCTTTGGGCGTGTTTGAATTTGTGCAGGTGTTATTTTAATATTGGAATATTATAAGCTGCGAGGTTTTAACAATGGTTTAGATTACAGGTAACAATCATAGCCGTTGTGTTGAGATAGTAATGGGCTCTCAACGAGGTTCAGTTTCGACAGGCATAGCGCACGAAGATATTTCTCGTGGGGAAAACGGAATGACGTGTATAAATAACTCGCAGAAATATCAATTAAACAATTATGCTGTCCGAATGGAATCGTATGTAATGATAGTGGGCTGGGCTATAACTCAAACGCATCTGTTCTACGGCTATTTGCAAAAGGCACGAAGCTGTGCTGTGCTTATTTGAATTCACACTGTCTCCGTACTTTATATTGTTAGCTATCAAATAGATAATTATAAACTTTTTATAAATTTTAACGCCTAAATACAGCCTCCATTGTTTTCTTTCAGATCTCAGAAGTTTTGTATTCAGAATATGGTATGGAAAGACTTTGACTAAAATCACTTAAATCCGTAACTAAGGTAACCAATGTATTCAGAGTAGGTAAACAGATAATATCAATGTATGTACTCGTATTTATAAGATAAGATCTGACGACAGTCTATAAACAAAATATGCAAAATATAGCTGTAGGCCTATGATTTTGTGTCATGTAACTGTTTAATTAATCACATTTATTGGAAACTTGTTTCTTTGGTGTATTAATGAAAGAAAATAAACTTATTTCTTGTGAAAGCTTAATGAAAGGAAAAGTGTTAATGATACGTTTATTCATACGATAAATCTAATACATAAAATTATCCTGTCACGATATTCGTTCCCATACTCCTCCGAAGCATCTCGACTGATTTTTATGAAATTTTTTATGCATATTCAGTAATATTGTCTTTGATTAACATAACTTTTATTCATTTAATAAAACACTATTTTTTGCGTGTGTTTACAGCGTGCGTGGTCACCGTGACCACGCACGCTGTAAAGCACGCGAAACGTCGGATAAATTTAAAATTATGTTAAATAGTTGTAAATTTATAATAATACATAACTTCAATCCGGTCAAAATAGTGTTTTATCATATTCAGTAAGTCTGAGAATCGGCTACTACCTATCAACCTCTATTTTTTATTTGTTGATTAAATTCTTATGACTTGACTCTGATGAAAAAAGAGAAAATAGAGAAAAATTCACAGAAAAACCTAAAAAGTTTTCATTCTAGAAAACAGAACAGTCTCTGGGGTACTAAAAAGGTAGGCTAAGTAAAATCACATTAAGGAGAAACGAAATTCGCGGGGGCAGCTAGTATTTGATAAAATTTGGAGCTTACCTTTCTCGTAACTAATTTGTCTCTCCTGTTGGCGGGCATTATCAGCTGCAACTTTAAGAAGCCCTTGTATGTTTCTTAGGAGGGTTTCTGTGGATGAGACCAGGGTGTCTGCTGATGGGTCTACTGGCACTGAAGGTGGGGAGCCTGACTGAGGTGCATAGCTCACTGGGGCTGGTGAATTCGCCGATTGTAGATCTCTTTCTCCGTCGCTCATATCGCCTCCTGGATAAAAGATATTTTTCAAATAATGTATGGAATGGTGCATCACACTTTTGCATAAAAAAGTCAGTGAAACACAAAAATATGTCTGCCCAGTTAATGGCACAAGACTTAACTCACAGACAATGTATTTTTGTGTACATAAGTTAAGACATCAGTAATCTTTCTTAAACGAAATTATAGTTCCCCGACCTTAAACTATACCTTATTAATTGAATTGCGTTCACTAGAATAATGATAAAATACGTATGTACTTTAGTATGTACATACTTTAGATTACTAAAAACTATATCTGCTACTGTGCAAATTATCTTTTTTTGTGTTGACAACATTGTTACATTTGACAGTAATCATCTTGATATGTGAAAAAAAATTTTTTTGTGAAAATAACTGCCACGTCGGTGCCACAGACCAACCTCTTCCGGTTAGTTTTAAAAAAAATTCTAAGCGGCGTTGGTCTTTTGGATGAGCTTATTAGCTAAACAAGTATGTTACACAAAAGGATAAAGAAGAGAAGTAAGAAGTGGCCGTCCGGTTAATTTAAGACGTCACATTAAAAAATACAACTTAAGACATTCTTCGTATCAACATTGTAGGAATCTTGTATTATAATAGAAATGTGCACAACCATTAGGAGCTCGTTGCATACATTCATATTGCAATTATAACTGCACTGAACATGGTAATCGCGTGGCTCTAGGCTTTGATGCGAGCCCATTTGCATGTACCATCAGCAAAATCAATGGCAAGGTATGTCTTGCTTTTATCCCTACTTATCGTACAAGTCCATACGATGACAAATATTATCTCGTTTCTTTAGATTCAAAATGATAAGGACAGAACATTCACTACAATTTAGATGTTAAGATTACGCATTAATTAATAACTTGTAAATTATTTACTATATTCCGTAAGAGTATGAAAAAATATATTTAACAAAATGGGGAAACTGAATAAATTATAGTTTTAACTAAAAATTTGTTTAGTTTAAGTTAATTTTTTAATAGTTAAATTAGTGTTTGCTGATAGTACATTATTCCAATATAATGAATGATCTATGATAAAGAAATTGTTTCCAACATGATTCGATTAAATATATTTACACTGATTCCATATGAAAAATTCTTAGAAATAAGCGATAAATTTAAATCTGCTCGTACATATTAACAAGGCGTAGTTTCCATAGAGTATATTAGAAATGGCGGTTAATCAAATAGTAACTCTTGTATACTCTTTAGAAATAAATAGAACCGCGTCTGAGAAGTGTAAATACAAAGCATACAAAAAACCAATTGAATTCTCTCACGGTCAAAAAGTAATCTATCGATACATTTAATTTAACTGACAAGATAGTGAACGCTCATCATATAATGAAGACAACATCGTTTCGTCATTGTCGATGTTCACGATAGCACTTTCCCAGTTGTCACAACATATTCTGCCTAATAAGACCAATTAACAAAATTCCGACTATCCCAATCTTCGAAAAACGAACTTTATTGTGAATGACATTGAGTTGAAATTGAATTTTACGCCTTTATAGTCTTAGGTGTGATTAAGTTTGGAAAGGTGTGATTGAAAGAAGGAGGTATTTTACGTCCAGACAGAGATCAAAGTTGAATGACACGGTCAAAGAGCTTTTTTTATTCTACATCGTGATCATCGCGCACGTATTGAAATTAATTATAAATAAATATGATTTCAGCATTTTACACGTCTTTAATTATTATTCCGCCCAATTTTTTAATTAGCTTTTCGAAATAACCAACGTCTAAAGGTTATTTTAAGCCCGCGACTTTGCTTAAAATATGATTCTTAAAATCATACATTTAAATTAAATAAAATTCACGAATTGTTCTACCACCTTAAATAAATATAGTAGCCAAGATTCAAGTCAGATTAAAAAATTAAACATAGAATTTATCCTTGTTTCATTAATGATTTATTTAATTGATATTTAATAATTTAAAATATCATTAGTTATTTTTTAATAACATTCAAACATTGAAAAGAATTCCTCCACAATATAATTATTGATATTTCAATGATCATTAAATCTAATGAATGCGTTTTTTAAAAAAGGAATCTTACATTTAAATTTTATATAAATATTGAAGAATGATATTTTGTTTACAGTGTCATTAATGAATAGTTTTTAAAATAAGAATCTAACCCCCGTGACCGTTAAGTAGTTCCCACGTTTTCAAGTATTTTGTGTACAATCTGCAATAACTTGAGTACACAAACGTTATTGTTACACTTAATTTACCTATTGTACTCTTCGAGTATTTACATTCATCGATCATTGTTTTGCTTTACGCCGGTATATTCCGTAATGTATTATTAAAATAGATAACTATTAAAACGCGTTTAATACAACATTTAATTTATGAAAGTAGCAACGGCGGGACGGGGTTTTAATACTATTTAGATTGTTTAACATATATATAATAATAAATAAATATATATAAGATATTAATAATAATTAGAACAAAAATGGTATAGTCATGCAATATTTAGGGTTATAATATTGTACTTTTGTACTGATAACTTCTTATGGAAGGGTAAACCGCTTCGTTACGTAACGCGTCACGGCGCCAGTCTGTCTATCTATATTATCATTAAAACCTTTTAGAACTCTTTTAAACATAAATGTTATTAGTTTTTGAAGTGAAACTTCTTTATCGAGGTTGGAAAAAAATTTAGTGTAACATTTTTTCGTTACGCGTCACATTTTTCGGTTACGCGCCATATTGCTTTTTGAAGTCAAACTTCATTATCGGCGTTGGAATGAAACTTCTTTATCGACGTATGGGAGAAATTTTGTAGCAAATCGTCACGTTTTTCAATGATAGTAATAATTCTATTACAATTAATGAAATTCTATAATAATCTTCGTAGTAATAAGGTAAAATGAAATATTTGTATTCATGTCTATGATAATAAAAGCTTTTTGTTAAACTTTATCTAATTTAACGAATTTCTGTAAAGTTGCATATAGTAGATCATTTTTCGAAAAACAAGATCATAAAGAAGTTTCACTTCTTACGTGTGTACACCTAGTACACGCACAATTTATTTTTTATAGAACATGGGGAACAAGGAAGTCGAATTGGTTCGGAAATACTTCAGTGAGCAGCTGGTTCCACATAGTGGTAGTGCGCAGCATAAATTGCCTTAAAAAAACACTTAGTTGAGGAACGTCCGAAGAAAATTAAATTTATATATCTCTTGGGATCTGGTTGAGATTCAAAAACGAGATTTATCGCTAAATCTGATTGTCGTACGTCAAATGTATCGGATTTTGACAGACGGAAGTCAAAAACGCGCTAAGTCTAGAGAAGGTAGGAAATATTTGGATTTAGGACGGTAGTTGTTGAAATTTTTTTTAATTGTTAAAAGTGAATTTTCGATGATACCCGCAATCTTATTGCTTTCTATAATCATAATAGTTTACATTAATAGCACTTTAAATTACTATCTGATGAATTCGTGACGTTGCATTAAATCTTTTGATTGATGATCTAAGTGATAACTAGTATTTAAGTCTAAATCTGCAAAAACTTATAGAAAGCTAAATCTTTTAGTAATGTATGTAATTTAATATAATGTTCGTTGATTTTACTTGATGGGTAAGGATAATAACGTTGGTCATGTCTGCCTAACCAATTTCTAACTACCATTGCAGCATTTAACTGAAAAAAGATAAAAAGGATGTGAAATGAAAAAAATACTTGATATTCAATATAAAAAAATTAGGGTCACTATAGTTAAACTTTCTGTATCAGTTTCATTAATTATCTTTTTTCGTTTTTTTTTTTAAATTAGCCGTCTGTCAAACCTCAACTTTTGGGTCTGGTAACTCTGGGTAATAATTTAAAGAAGCATTTCATTTTAAAATTTCCCTTGTTAGCTATAGTTTATACTCTGTGCAAGTACAAGTTGACAGTGTCATTTCTACGGACTAATTTGCGTCAAAAAAATCATAGATTAAGTAGATAATAGAGCTCGGTCTAAGTCATTGGAGCCATTAAAATATAGCTGAAGTGTAAAAATAGAAGTCATGGGAATATTTTTATTACTCTATAATCACGATTGTTTCTTTCATTTCCCATATTATGCTTGAGTAGCTTTTTAACAGAGAAACGGAACGATCAGTCACCGTTTTAATTGAAGCGATAGACATAAACGTATATTGCAATGTTGCGTTCTAAAATAAAAGAAAGAGAAGGTTTATGGTTGATAATTTTCTTACTACAATCGCTTGAGAGTTTAAAAGATATTACACAGTAATTTCACTTACATGTAATTGAAAGCTTGATGAGATTTTATACTATACATTGACTTTGTAACCTAGCATGTTTTTATTAAAAAAAAACAGGCGCTACAACCTATAATCTTGGATTTAGATTGCTGTAAGTTTCATGTTCATTTTTTTCTTAATACGTAGGTGATCAGCCTGTGCCTCGCTCGAATTTTGGATCTAAGAAATGCTGATTTCTTGACGATTTTTCTTCACCGTATGAGCCAGACTCAAATGAGCACATTGTAATAAAAAGACCTTTTGGCCAGGGTTCAAACCTACATCCTCAGATATGTTATACGCTCAAGCCACTAACCAACACTGGTCAAAATAAAATCCATTGTTATTATTCGAAATCTAATTTAAAAGCTAAATAATGTTCGGTGTAGACTATCTGTCTTCAAGTAAATGCTTCAGACCAAATAAACATAAAAGAGAAAGGTAATTGTTGTCTTACAAAGACAGTTTTTTTCGTGAAAACGTACCTTCATCTTCGTCCTTAACGTTATGGTCATCCTGGTCAGAGAGGGCAGCATCGCTCTCGTCCGTATGTGATCTTGGAGATGGTGCTGTAGCTGCAGAAGAGAGCCGGGGAGGCTGAGGCGTCCGGCGGGAGGCAGCTGAGCTCCGGCCACTGGCTGAGCCTTCGCCCCTCTCACCCCGTTCACGGTCAGTCCTTTCCCGATCTCCGGAGCCTGACTTTGATAGGTTGAGAACAGGACTATGGCCAGGCGATGAACCTGTAACAATTGTTGACAAGTTAAAGAAGTCTTGTCTAGGAATAGGAAGTAAATTCTTCCCGTCTTTATAATTTATTATTTGCTGAACTGAGCAGTAAATCCAGGGGTAAATTATATTTTTTTGACTTATGTTAATTTATGAATAATAATTAGAACAACAAACAGTATAGTCATGCAACATTTAGTGATATAACATTGTACTTTTGAAGTGATAACGTCTTATGGGAGGGTAAATCACTTCGTTACGTAACGCGTTACGGCGCCAGTCTGTCTATTTATATCATTAAAACCTTTTAGATCTGTTTCAATCATAAATGTTATTATTATTTTTTATAGTAGGTACTGGGGGAATCAGGAACTCGAATTGGTTCGGAAATACTTCAGTGGGCAGCTGGGTCCACATAGTGGTGGTACGCGTCAAAAAGTGCCTTAAAAACACTTAGTTGTGGAGCAACGGACGTCGAGGTGATACGGGCGGAATTTCGTATTTTACCTCGACGTCCGGTCAAAATTTTAGTATACAAAAACCAGACTAGTATACCTACCGATAAAAATATTATCTATGCTTTTTCTTTAAATATAAAGATAAATGTACTTCCACAGCTTAATGTGGTTACTCACCATTATGTGAACCTTCGCGAGCTTTGTCCATCGCAATAACGCGTTCAATGTCGCCTCGCTCGTCTCGTAGCCTGCAACAAAAGAGATTTAAAAATTATTAAAACTTTATATGATTAAAATAAAATATACCAACGCATTAACCGTTTTTTAAGCGATCTTTGGTTGGTCGATGCCAAATAACTCAGTGTCAGCGTTATAATTATCAAAGCATAATCATATATATTTGGTAAGTACATATTATGTATTTTAACGGTCTAATGATAAAAGGTAAATTACACGACCTTACTTTTTTTTTGTAGTTTTTGTGCTAAAGTTTATTTTATGATGCACAAAAACGAAAAGAAAATACATTTTTTGGTATATGTTTGATTTTAATTCATTCAAAAATTCCGCGCGATCAGAGATCGGAGTTTTTACGTTAGCGCCGCTAGATGGCACTCTATTAATAAACAACGAGCAGGTATAAATAAACATTTTGCTTGAATGGTTTCATCGTCAATTGAAAATTATCGTATCGGTCTCCAAAACAAGAACAAACTTTTTTGTCATATTTATTTTGTCTAGTAACTACCTAAAATATAGAAATTCTATGCCTCTAAGTTAAAGTCAAATTTTGTGTTGACCCGTGTTATCATTATCATCTCTATAAATAATAATGACAAAAGTCGACAACAAAACACTAGTTACAAGTATATTATAATTTCAACAAGATCTCAACATTCATAACGTAACTTTCCACATTTAAAGTGAAACTCATAAATTAAACATACTCGCCACATTTCAACAATAATTTTTAATCAATAAACACCCGCCGATCAACGAATAAAAAACTATGAAACACGCAAACATTAATTGATATTATTAATGAATGGATATGTCAGGATCTCGTTATGTTGCATCGGCAATAAATCGGTCACGCTACCACGCAAATCTCAATGCTAACAGTATCATTTGAAACCATAAAGCATACTGCCTACTGTGCAAGTCAAAGGAAAAAGTATAATATCATAGAACCCCGCTGAGTTTCTTTGTTGAAGACGCTGCATGTAATTTTGTTCGGATGCGTACCCTAATTCTTTTGATTATGAATTATTAGCTACCGTATCATATCGTAGGAAAATATGTTTTCGGTCCATTAATAAATGAGTTTTTTTTTAAATGAATTTTTTTTTACGTGACAAATTCAATTATATACGAACGAGATGTATGTCGCAATCAGACAGTGGTCCTAATTTTTGTCTTCTAGGCTCATTCGTATTTTTAATGCCATTTTATATTGATTAAACATGCTAATATATTAACTTAAAAATATAATATAAAAACACTTTAATAAAGCGGCAAATGATTACGTAATATGTTACTTAAATCATATGTCAGTCTAATAGAAATAAAACTACTTGATTTATTATTAAAGCCTTTTTGTTTCTGTAACCCCATACTCGTACAATGATTTTAAATAATACAATACAAAACAAAAGTCTGGTGTACAGTGTGTTCTGGGACATGTACGCCTATACTAGCTTTCTTCTCGTGTATATACCGTCGTCAATTATAAAACTACTTACGTTTTCAATAATATAATGTGTGTGACATTTCTAACTAGAAATTGTCTTATAAGGACATAATTAAAAATTCATTATTACACGAGAAAAACACAGCTCAATATAGGAGAAAAATTTTCCGCAACCAATTTCGCTCATTTCAAAGGGGTTAATTCTACAATTTTTGCCCAGTAATGCCTTTTGAGCATTTGAATATAAATGACGTCTGAAAGTGAAATGTAACATACATAATAAGTGGCTGTTTTAAGCCTTGGAACCCTTTTGTGGATTACAGAGTAATGCGACAAACAGAGTCAAGATTTATTCTACTTCTGGTAGTGGTATTTCATATCACAATAAAAAGAATATTTTTAACCTATTATATGAAATTCAATAAATTAAATTAGTGTATTTAAATGGCAAAGAGAATTTATAAACGTTATTTATAACATCTAAGTACGAATAACAAAAAATATATATATATTTGTACTTATATTATGTTACTAAAAATAATATGTAAAATTTGTTGTAAATTATTCAAAATAGCCTATAATTTATCTTTATTATTAATAATCTATAAAAAAAATATGTTAAATATTTTTTTATTTGTTTGAATCTTAAGTCTAGAGGAGAATTAAATACAAAAAAAAAAAATATATATATATATATATATATATAGTATATACATATTATATAACATAACAAAATTGTGAATGTGTTAGATTGTTATGATTATTTTTTATAAATATTATATTATTCTATATGGTATAAATTTTTATTTTATATGTTAATATCATATAATACCGCCTGTATTTTCATATTATTAAAAGCTCTACTTTAAAATTACTCTACATTTGAACCCTCAAAATGGAGTCGTTTCGTACTTTGACGAGTCACGGAGCTCCGACTGAATTTAATATATTTTTCATTTCCGCCGCTATTAATATGTTAATAATTCTTTATATCTTTGATATCTTTCCCACAAATTGGCAAGATCAAAGCGTCAAAGTAAAAAAGTTTAAATTATATATTTGACAAATCAATTCGTTTTGAATCGAATTTTAATGAGCTCTGGCATTCAAAAGAAACTAAATCATTACGATCGGACAAAAGATAACGCCTATATCAATAAAGCAATAAATTATTTCCACTTCCTTTTATTTTTATCATTATACTGTTAATGTGATGGATGACATTCACAATGTGTTATATTAAAAATGAAGATGGCTTCAAAGATTAATCATTATAATTGTTTCTTGTTTTTATTTTACTAATTTCCTATTTTATAATAAAATATAATTTGTTAGTTTATCTGGATAAATAGAAGATAATAATAGTTTTGTGTTGAATGTATCAGTGGCGGTGAACCATTTTTTTTTTAATTCTGGGCCTATTGCTGGTCTATTCATTATCATTTTGTCAAGCTAATAGGCAAGTATAAGATCAGCCTCCTGCGCCTGACACTAGTCGTCGACTTTTGGGCATGCCAGTTTCCTCACGATGTTTGCCTAAACCGTTTGACAGAATGTTGCACACTACAAAAAAGCGCACATAGAAAGTCCATTGCACAGCCGAGGATCGAACCAACGACCTCAGGGATGAGAGTCGCACGCTGAAGCCTATAGGCCAACACTGCTCTCGCATCTTTGTGTTGAGTTGTAATCATTTTAGTTGCTTTTAATATGCGCTGGAAATTTAGTTAAAATTACGGTATTAAAAGTTTTTTCCCGTAAAATGAACCTGGGATATAAACGAAATCAAAAACACCACACGATACGCGTAAACCGGTGGGGTTTCGGTTTATTAGATGTAGGTTAATTAATGGAAATGATACAGTGATTTTCCTGGAAAATTAATGAATATTCTCCCCAACTGCCAGGAGCAGCAGTCAGAAATCGGGAAATATTATTCATTTACTTGTCAAATTGTAAATAATTGGTGTAGAAACGTCGCTTGATAGAGAAAAAATCGCGACGGACAGTTGGGGAGCGCGGCTCTTTATGTAAATCCGTCCGAGCTTTATGAATCTTACATTCTTTAATAATTACCTAATTTTATCGTCCCTAGAACGAAGCAATGAATGCAATAAGCAGTAAAATGCAATGCTTTTTATCTAAACACTTAGCAATTCCATTGTCAAATTACAAAAGCCATAACGAATCGATATTATTAACTATCAACATGAATGTCCGTGTGGATAATGAAAGTTAACTTAGTTAACGTAAACCACTGCCATTACAGGACGAGCAGTGGCCTAAACAGATATTCCGGGGCCACGAGCGCGGACAATACGATGCAATCTACCATCGAGCCAATGTACGCTGATTAGTTAATTCTGAACCGCTCATACAGCCTAATACCGCACTAACGTTACGAACCATTCTTGTATGCATAATCTGATTAGAGGAAGTATTAAACGAAGCTTTTGATAGCACTGCATTATATACCAAAACGCGTATAAAGAAAATGAAATCCTCGCCGAGTAAAACATTTGCTTGACACCTAAATCAAAAATCGCTTTAGCTCACCCTCCCGGGGGTGATGGGGACGTCGACGCCTCAACATTTATTATTTCAGACATATCACTCACATGCAAAACAAACTCCGTCCGATCCATCAAAAAGTTCTTCCCCCGCCACCTTTACGAACAAATCGAGTGTGTAAGTAGCGGTTTGAGGATTCGATCTCATCCCAATTTATGTTTCTCCCTAAGAAATCTAATATTGCTTGCGAGTGAAACATTCATTAATTTTAATTATAACTTTTGCTGTTTTCTGATTTTAGGTTTTAGGTATTTTTAATTTACTATTTGAAAAAAAAAAAAAAGTGGCGCTACAACCTTTAGGTCTTGGCCTCATATTTCTGAATCTGTTTCATGATCATTTTTAAATCTAATAGGCAAGTAGGTGATCAGCCTCCAGTACCTGACACACGCCGTCAACTTTTGGGTCTAAGACATGTCGGTTTCCTCACGATGTTTTCCTTCACCGTTCGAGCCAATATTAAATGCGCACATAGAAAGAAAGTCCATTGGTGCACAGCCGGGGATCAAACCTACGACCTCAGGTATGAGAGTCGCACGCTGAAGCCAACACTACTCAACAGAAATGAACGAATGAAAGAAAATTAAACCTGCAATCAATAATACAACTTAAAGAAACGGACAAAAAAGGTACCAAACAGTTTAATGAAACATGAGTAATAAGAAAGGTTGAGACTGCCGAAAAATATGCAATATCAAAAACAAATAAGCTTTCTCATCCACAGTAAGAATAGTAACCCCCGAATAGTCAACAAAGCTTCGAAGAAAATCGAGCGAAAAAAGGCTAAAAACACCTTAGGGGTTTACTAATCGAATAAAAAATATCAGCGGCCGATGTGTAGGGGAGGAATGGAATAAATTATAAAGAAAACAACATGGTAAGGGGATTTCGCAAACAACAAGTTTCTTACTTTATGTTTTGTCTTAATTCGAATACATCTAAAGGGGACTGAGGATTTCTAGACAGGATTCAACAAAATATGCATATTATTCGGGTTCAACAAAATATGCATATTATAATTGCGAAATGGATCCAATATATAATATATGGCAGATTCTTTTAAAAATATTTAAGAAATCAGTCCCTTAAGATGTTAAATTTGTAAAAGTTTTGTCTCGATTTAAGTAGCATCAAAAATAAAATCGCGGAATAATGGGAAAAAAGTAACATGATGACTTGTTGGGCGCACCCTTCGCATAAACGTCACGATGTCATTTGTAAAAATTGCGGCCTACTAACTTCTTCAGTTTCAGAATAATAAATACATAGAGTCGTCATGAAATTGTTATTATGGTTTTGTACGGCTTTTCATCGTTTAAATATTATTATTAAGAGTTTTTACTATATTTATCTAAATAAAGTTATACTAATATGTAGTTTGGAGTCTAAATCAATTTTTTCCATATTATTTTTAATCAATCGGCAAGAATTTTTCACATTAAAATTAAAAAAAAACTTTTTTTAAATTAAAATAATTCTAATAGGTATATAATCTATTACACATATATCCGTGCTAAAAGATATATTCCTATAAGATACCTCAGTAAATGAAGACTCTATAGACATTTTGTTCTTGAACAAAAGAGAAACCGTAAACAACCAAATTCAGGGGCGACAAAGAAATCGGCAGCGGGACCTCGCGGGGGAAACCGGAGACAGTTATTTAAATTTGAATAATATAATATGGAAAAATTACGTCACTTAATACCGTAATAAAAGTGCACTAAGCGACCGAGGCATTACGCTTGCCAAACGCAAAGAGGGACACGCAAATTTCGCTTATGAAACGTGAAATGAAATATAAAATCTGTCGGGAAGAAAATAAAATATGTCTCCGAAGCTTTCCAGCTCATTACGATATTAGAAGTACGTGAGGAGATTTAAGTTGTCGCTGGTGAATCTGTGAAGATGAACGACTCTTCATGTTCATTATGTTACAATAGCTGCTGCAAAGTTTTGGTCAGGTTTCCCGAAAAGTGTTTGATACAAAGGGAATTAATTATAGCGAAGTAGTTCTAAAATTTAATGAAATAACGTCGTATTTGTTGAAAGCAGATTACAGTACGGTAACGAGATTCCGATCGGGCCCGTACGATGTTATTAGGATTTAAGCGCCAGCGCGTCGCCTGTCTCCCGGCGCAATGTTGGATAATTATGCAAAATTGCTTCTACGATTCGTAGCCCCGGACTTTTAGGGACATAACCATTAAGTGTAATGGGAATGTTTTTTGATAATGTTTAATTTCACTGATACCTGGGGAGTAGATTTTTTGCGATGTAACACTAGAACGATTCAGTGACCATAGATTGCATAAATACGGCTTCGGCATATGATAACCACAGAGAATTTACATGCATCAGTAGACTTCCAGTCCAATTCCTTCGATAATGCAAAGAGACAAACCCTTCCTGATCCTTAAGCTGCATGAGTGGTGCGCGTCAAAGTAAATCAAATTTCTTTTGTTTAGCGGTTTCTTTCGGTGGGTCGGTCACATTATTGTAGTGGATGTCATTTGTAACCACAATCTTTGCGTAGAAATAGCTTTTCCATTAATAAGCAGAATTATTTGTGTGTTATGTAATATTTCGACTTCAAATGCGGCTTTAATAAATTTTGATGTTGAACTTTGACGCGTTAGGGAAAAATGATGCGAGTACATCACATAAAAAAAAACCAAAATGTTGACGATAGCTAACTTCAGGGTGTCGGTTTTTGTGACGGTGAACGCGCGCATCGTAAAAAATTACTCGCATCATTTTTCCCCTTATTATATCTATATATATATCATTTTAATTTTTAAAACAAAACTCACCTAAAAAAGGTAATTGAATTATTTTTAATATTCAAAATAATTAAAACAAAAAATCGAGAAAAAAGATAACTCTTAGATGTCCCATCATTATCTCAGAGTCCCGCAGCCCATCCATCATAGTATTGTTCAATGCATTGATAAAACTAACACCTATTGATAACATCGGATCAGCTATAAATGTCTTTAACAATGACTTTAATGAATATACTCGTTGATATCATTAGTTTTATAAAATTTTAAGCCCTTTAAACATACCGCTTCTTACGAACGAAAGATAACCTATGATTTTCGATGTTTTTACATATTAAAAATTTCCTTTTAATTAATTAAAATTAACGATTCAACTGTTTGATTATTTAGATGACAGATCCCATTTTTTTATGCTTCTGGCACGATTTGTGCATTAGCCAGCGTCAAGTATAGGATTTTTTATAATTCGTGCTTGTCTTTAGAAATTCGACCGTGTCCTCCATGTACGGTTTAGGCACTCGCCCGGTACCGCACAACCAACAAAGGCCGAGAACAAATTTAAATTAAAACTTGCCCTCGAACCGGGAATCGAACCCGGTACCCCTCACCTAGCTCCCACTTAATAAGACCGCTAGGCTATGAGGCCCCTAGATCCCATTTTAAGCAAGTTCCAGATCCCAGTTTGTAAGAACAAATTTTCAAATTTCGAACGTCGATGACGCAAATATGCTTTTGATTTAAAAATACGACAATATGGATAAATTTTGTTTATCCAAATTTATATTGTTTATTCTAATTACGTAGTTCACTATTTAAATCCCTTTTCTTCTATCCATATTTTTTTTCTATACTATGTGACGTTATAGTGACCAGTACATTTTGTATGAGTTTTCTAGTTATTTATGACTAGAGGTTGGTGTTGCAAGTTGTGGATATAATCGACATTATTTTAACACTTTTCCTTTTCATTAATGACATCGCATAAGTTAAAACCTATTCCTTAAATATATTTGTATACACAATGTGAATAAACACATCGATTTTGACAATTAACGTTGTGAACATCATGTCTGTATCATCGGGTTTGGCAGAAAGTAAACAGAAAATATAATTTAGAAGCAATTTGCCGCGGATATGTCCGCAATCAAATTGTCTCGTTAATACTGCGCTATCAAAACATTTGATTTGTGGTTGTAGGGTTGAATGGTTATTTAACCCGTACGATGCCAATATGACCCTTATTTATCTACGATCAATTATTTATTTCAATTTTCAACTTTTTTACTCGTATAACCTTTTACGCTGATGAGCGAATCACAATTGAGATTATGTACGTAAATATTTGGACTATACAGTATTCATTTAAACTTCGATACATTAAAATAAAAACAAATAACATTAATTATTAGAAATGCAACGGGCCGTATCGCTTCCTAGTAAGGAATATTACTTCAATACTAAGGGTAAAGTGCGTAACCAAATCAAAATAAATAAAATTACAAGTAACACTGATAAATTATACAATTACCAAACTTAATCTTAATTAATAAAATAATGTAATAAAGTATTGACCAGTTTTATACTCTAGAAGTATCTATGGTAAATACAAATGTTACGGCTTTCTGATTTATTTTTATTGTGGTACGTCTCACGTTTATGTGATTTAAAGTTCATTTGAGTACTTAATGGCAAAACGTACCTTATATATTATAGCAATTGTAGTGTCATAAATTTAATAACGTAATCATAAAAAGGAACCACGATACTATAAAGATATTTGGTAGACTATCCAAGCGTAGCGAGCAGTGTTGGCCAAGTGGTTCCAGCGCGTGACTCTCGTGCCTGAGGTCGTAGGTTTGATCCCTGTGATTTTCTCGAACGGCGAAGCAAAACATCGTGAGAAAACCAGCTTGTCTTAAACCCAAAAAGTCTACGGCGCGTGTACTTGATACAGATTTCTGTATCATGACCATTTGTCAGTCTATTAGATTGACAAATGATCATGATACAGAAATCTGGGGCCTAAATATAAAAAGGTTGTATCAAAGTGAATTATTAAAAAATCTTAAATATTCTTTAACATTTTTATGTATCCTTACTATACGTTCATACAAAGATAGCTAAATCTAGTTATACAAGAAAATATTAGAGGAATATTTCTATTTAAAACCATTAACCCTTATTAGCCTGTTCTAGTTTTTCCATAATGCGATTTTGTCTTACTTACGCAAAGAAGTGGCATTTGTAAGCATAGTTACAATGAAGTCTGTGGATGTAACTTACAAGTATGA